CTCAAAAAGATCAGATCACGATTAGTTTGGTGAAACAGAATTGTGTAGATTTGGAATACAAAAAGTACCCGGCGCAAATGCTTGAAGTAGCCGGTGACTTGCGCCGGGCGCCGGCTAAATTTGAAAACCCTGTGTATGTCTCATCAGATTGTTCAAGGCTATCCCAAGCATCATCTGGTGTACATTGCCAGGGTTTGTATTTAAGCAACTGATGTTTACGAAATAAACCATAGTCTTCATTTTTTGGATTGGATGAATAATTAGGGTAGGTTTTCACAATTACAGTTTTTCCTCTTTGGTGAAGTTTTGAACCTTTAAAATAAATTTTGATGCAAACTGACAAAAATTGTACGTCTCTAATAATTGTGGATCTACCTTGAGATAGTTATGACGTTCAGCATAGATATCAACTATTGAAGGAACTGTACAAATTTGGTGGTTTGCTCCAAGTTGGACTCTTCTCGGTCAATCAAGTGATGTAGCGATAACCTCATTAGAAGCACTTAAAAATTTTGACAGTAAATGATGCATGACCTCTTGAATAGAGTAGTCTCTTTGACCAACAGTTTTCGGCATAACTTACTTAAGGGCACCAGGAGTATCAGAAGTATCAGTGAAAGCATTTTTGACTACAGAAGATGCTTTTTCAGCTTTTGATGTATACTTAATTTCAGACAAGCATGATAATATATAACAATTTGAATATTGCAATTTGTTCTCCACCCTTGAAGCCGTAATGGCTGATGACGATTCAATCTAGAATCATTCCGTGTTGTGACAATGACAGCTTTATATTTTATGTCGCCAGTTTTTGTGTTGATTAGTTCAAATTCAAGTCTTGTTTCAGCATGGTTGTCATAAGGAAAGTTGAACCTACAATGTAATTCAGATTTGTCATCTTGTGGAAGACAATATTTAGTACTACCTGTAGTATGTCTCTCCACTGAATTTAACAAATGTACATAATCATCTTCCATTTCATTTGCTTTTAATGAAAGATGTGATTTTTGACATGGGTGAATTTCTGGTTTTGATCATCCATCATCAGGAGAGCAAGGATTCCAGGTTGTCAACAAAAAGTCAACATATTTTCAAACAATTAATTAACTCAGCTTCCTTGGCTTCATGTATTTCATTATCAATATTTACAATCTGTTCTTTAGACAGCATATTTTGTTTTTCCATATCTATATTTTGAAGCCAAGTATCCCTTAAGGGCCTTCTCTGTGAGGGAACATAATCCTGGGTCATTTTTCAACTTAGCAACTCCATGACAATGGATAGAACCCCTTTGGACTCCATATTCGTACCTATACCAATGCCAGGAAGCCTGCAATGAATCCTTCAACCAATCCTTAACAAAACGATCTGTTCTTTCAGAAAGCAGCCGATCTAAGAGATGTGGTTTGTCCAAAACAGGTTGTTACCTATCGGCTGGAGTCAGTTTTTCATTGCTACTCTTTTTTAACAAGTTGTGAAACTCTGGCCAGTGATATTCTGCACATGATAAAGTAAAAAATATTGCGGGTGGTCCCTTTTGAGTTGTTGTAGCCTTTAGGTCTTCTTTTGATTTATGCCAACAAGCACTGCTACCAGTTATATTTTTGGCATAATACATCAGCTTAGTGAAGAATAGCTATTAGAAGTAAGCATTTATTTGAGTTGTTCTACAGTTAGCTGGGCCTCACCTGGATGTTGCTTAAGAAATACACTACCCTGACTAAGAAGTCTGCGCCTTTGGATCATATTAAATGCCCAGTAAGCAAATCGTGGATGACGCGCAAATCTGTACACCCATTCGCCATTGATGTTTTCAGCAAACTTTATCAAGTGCTTTACTTTATCACCTAGGGTTACAACTCGCATTGTGGCAGTATTGGTTGGATCTCCAATAGCATCAGGGAAGAGAGTGGGAAAAGCCATTGTTGCTAGTAGCTGAATTTTGAATTCACTTAATGGATTGGTTCTCTACTAGGCCATGTAGCTTTTGTAGTGGTATCGTCTTAGAATATCGCACAAGTCCACAACTCAACACGCTTTTAATCCGACTTACACACTACATACATATTTTATCCTCGTGTTCTACTACATGCCGTCCTAATTAATACAGTATTACATCCCATAATAATCCTGCAGCAGGTAGAACGACTTCCGGTACACTACATCTCCCCCTTATTACAAAAGAGCTGGCACCTAAACTAGGTATATAAAATGACTAACCAAAACTAATACAATAAATTTTGAAAAAGGTGTCAAAAACAGTCTCTTGTCTCTCGTTAACATAACCTAAACTACATATACAAAGTCACAAACACAGTCTTGCATCCAGGCTAGCGCTTGCCTAGTGCGCACGGGTCGCGGGGTATGTGAATCACTCGACAAAGGGCTACTGGGGGATCACACGGTTGGGTTGGCGGACCCTCTGCAATTTGAACAGGCTGTTTTTCTATCAAGGGTGTTGGCTGTGGTGGCAACTGATCCTGTTTAGCTTCCCCAGGTTCATTGAAGTTTTTCATGTGGGCGATGTTGCGCATCTTGCTATTGCCATTGACGTCTTGCAGAATTACAGCATTCCTTTCCTTATGAGTGACTACGTAAGGTTCAGCCTCGTAGATGGGTGAAAGCTTGCTTTTACGGGTTTGATTCAATAACACTTTGTCACCCTCTTCTATGTTGCTGTACTTGGCAGCCCTCGTCTTGTCTGCGTGTTCTTTCTGTCGCAGTTTGGCACGAGCATCTCTCTCTCAGCTTCTGTTGCCAAAAGGGCTCAGGGGGTCGGTCTTCAAGAATTTTAACTTGCGGTAGGTTGTCTCGCAGTTTTCTCCCGATAAGTAATAGAGCAGGAGAGACAGCAGTAACAGTGTGCGGGGTTACTCTTAACTGGAACTGGAAGTTTTGAAGAGATTTCCGCCAATCTTTTCCTTCAAGGCGTGCGATTCGCACAATCTTGAGAAGGGTTTCATTGCAACGCTCCACTTCTCCATTGCTCTGGGGCCAGTATGGTACACCCTTTTTGTGCTCGATCCCTAGATACTCTAAGAACTTCTCGAATTCCTTTGACGCAAACGGAAGCCCATTGTCACTACGAATGGTTTGGGGAAGACCATGTGTTGCAAAGATGGCTTCCAAGCTTCTTACTACATGGTTGGCATCTGTTTTCTTCAGTAGTATAGCTTCTATCCAATAAGAATAATCTACCACCACCAGGAGGTGTTCTCCGTTTGATATCTCAAAAAGGTCAATTGAGATCTCTTGCCAGGGACCGTCAGGCAGCCGGCTTGATCTGATGGGCTCAGGTTTGGTTCTGGGTCCGACAAACTGACACGGGTGGCATGCACGGATCGCTTCTTCGACCTGCTTGTCAATTTGTGGCCACCACACTCTTTCTCTCAGACTGGCCTTGGTCCTTACCATACCCAGGTGGCCCTCATGAGCCAGGGTAATGGTCCTCTTCCATAAGCTCTCAGGCATCACGACACGATTTTCTCTCATTACCACTTGCCCAACCAGCCATAATTCATCTTTCACTGCTTTATAAGAGGTGCCTGACAACTTGCTCCAATTACCTGTTATCACGGCCTGGTGGACGGGCTGAAGTGTGGGGTCTTCTGCTGAAGCAGTCTCCACTTGTTTGGGCGTTGAGGCGGCTGGCATTGCTTTAGTCACCACACTGTACGCAAAATCTTCTGTTTTTACAGTGTCTTTTTCTTGGGCGTGGCCCACAGGGAGGCGGCTAAGCACATCAGCGGCATTATCTGTGCCTCGTATATGTGTCAACTCATACTGGAACTGCTTCAGGTACTGGAGCCACCTTTCTATCCTACCAGATGGGGGCTTGAACTGACTGCCGAGCACTGTGACCAAGGGGTTGTGGTCTGTGCATATCTCAAACTTAATTCCATAGAGGTACAAGTAGAACTTCTGACATGCCCATCTGACGGCTGGTGCCTCTCTTTCAAACTGGGAATATCTTTGCTCAACTTTGCTCAACTTTCGACTAGCATAGTAAATTGGTCTGGAGGTCTCATCTTCTTGCTTCTGTTCAAGAATGGCTCAACTATTTGGAGGTTGCCCGAACAAAATTAAATCTTTTCCTCGTGAAGTGAGAGGTTAAAAAACTCGTCAACGAATCAAATTAAAGGAAACTGATTAATCTGTTCTGTTCACATTGCATTGAATTAAATTATGATGTCTGATGCTGACAACGCTGATGTCTGATGATGACAATGATTTTCTGACATCTTAAAATCTCTTTGCTCCTCTCTTCCGCTTACTTCTTCTCTCA